AAGTGGATCTACTCTATAAGATGACTCTATGAGACACCGTTCATTCCCAAACTGTTTGATGATGCTAAATTCATGCAAATTCTTCTAGATTTATTTGAGTTCACTGTTATCCATGTGTACGTGATGTGTTTAACTATCCTATGGATCATTGTGATTCTGCTAAGTTTGTCTGTGATACATCGAGACATACTTGTATATTTATTTGGCTGAGAACTTATGGCTTCATATTCTATCCCCTCCTAGCCACGCGCTTATGTAAGCAATTATGCAGAATCTTAATTGAATTACAGTTAGTTGCTTGGAATTTCTACTTCATGTAGATAGCTATGGTGGCTGGCTGTTTCTTGTCATCGAGTTTTTTGTAGATTCTAGAAAACCTTTGTGTTAGGTTGATACAGTATTTCGTTGGTTAGTTTCACTATGTTATGTACACTTGTCGATTTGTTGCTTCTTCCAAAACTGATTATCAACTATAGTGTTCTCAAGGCTCTATAAACAAGGTTGTTTATATGTTCATACATCGTGTTATTCACTATTCTTTCCACGTACTACCCTTCAATTGGTATTTACGGTATGGGTTTCTATGTTGTCTTGGAGCGCCCTGGTTACTGTGTGGGACGTCGTTGCAGGTGCAAATCTCGCATTGGAATCCAGCACAGGGTCGCAAAGGAAGACGCAATGAAGTGGTTCCTCAATAAGTCCTCCAAAATTGCGACTTAGTTTGAGAGAACCATTCGGCTATCCCCACCAAAGCTTATACAATTTTGTGCCTTATGTAGACTGCGATTCAGTAACATTTGAGATCAAAGTTTGGAGAAGTGCAGTAATGTCTTTTGCTGATAATTTTTTCTGATTCACATTTTACACTTTTCTTGAGATGAATTTAGCTGTGCTATTTTCAGTTTTCTCCTTCCACTAAATATAATGTGTCATCGTAATGCTTTACTTCATCATACACTGAGTTTGATGATCTTTACACTCTTCGAAAGTGTCATTGTTGTTCTCATAAGACAATTTTTTCACGTAAAAATGGCTTATAGGAAATACTAAAAAACATCTTTTGAAATTACGTGCACTTTGCTAAAGAATAAAAATTTAGTGTTATTTATAATCCTAAAACCTTTTATAAATTGGAAATTCAAGCTATATTTGCCTTACATAATAATAAACCTTTAAGGATTTACAGTTTTAAGTTTTGATGAGATGCACTGATTATTTAATTTCCCGCAAATGAAAGGGGATCGTGAACAAGTAATAAAGTAATGAATAGAGTGTCGAACCCTCGAAAACTAAGTATTTAATCGAGTTAAAATTAATAATATTATTAATCGAATAGCAAAAGTGATTTGAGTTTATCTATGCTAAGTTCTAAGTTATTAACTAAGTGAAAGCAAATAAAATTGGTTTTCAAATATGTGAGAAGTATTGTTAGGACGTCGAATTTCCCTTGTTAATCCATTTTTAGTTCAATAATTTAAAATGACATTTTGAAATCATTCTTGTTGGTCAATGTTCCTATGTTAGTTAAAAGTCTCTCACGATAGCGATTAAATATATTCCTGCATGTGACATTCCTGTATCTCCATGAAAGATGTGAATATGCAAAAAAGCATTAAACATGTTAAAACACTTATAAAAATCAAGTAAAATATAACGGTATATCTCTATTTCCTATCGGACTTTACCATGTTTATTATTTTGTGCTAATGATCTGTCTCTCAGGATAACAAAAAAAATCACAAACAATTCAACTAGTGGCCAATTAATTGAAAAGCATGAAAACAATAATAAATATCCAAGAATTTAAAAGAAAATTAAAGCCAAACTAATTTATTATAACAAAAAAAAATATCATAACAAGGATTTATCTCATCCTAACAATTAAATAACTATCATAACATATAGAAACTACAGGAAAATATCATAATTTTGGATAACATCACCCGGTATTGTGAATTAATGAATGAAGCAAGATGAATCTGGATGTTCTTGAATTTCTTCAAAGCAATCTTGATAAATCTTCCATAATCCTTTCAAATCTTTAATTTGCCCCACAAATCCCAGGTTTAATCTCCAAATGGCGAGTTCTTGAACTTCGCCTTTAAAATATTCTCACAATAGATGATTTTGCCCCTCTTTTATGAAGAAAATTGATTGAATATTGTAGTATGAGATGTATGTGAAAGGTGTCTCTAATATATTCTGTTGTTAGGTATTTCTAGAAGTCGAAAATTGGTTGAAATCACATCCAAATTGGTTTTGAAAAGAATTCCAATCAAATAAGGAAAGTTATCTTAACGTGCGAATGTTTTTGTCCCTGTACGGCAATCAATATTTTGATCATAACTTTCTCTCCAAATATCTTATTGAGTTGATTCAAAGCATATAAAAAGCTAACTCGAAGGTCTACAACTTTGATAAAAATAGAATTTTTTCAATTCGGATGTTTACTATGCCAAAATGGGTTTCAATCTTTAACTAAAAATTTGGAATATAATTAGTGCAATTAGAAATTGATTTGTGATAATATTTTAATCATGTTCCATTCATTTTTTACTTTTAATTCCATCCAATTGTCTCATAGCAATCTTCAAAGTATCGTCTTATGGTTCGAATTAACTATTGAATATTTGCAATTTGGTCCTCAAACTTTGGAATTCGCCCTTTTTCACTTCTTTCTTTCAATTCCACTTCCAATCATCGAGTTTTACCTAATAAACGAAAAAAACAATAGATTAGGCTATATTTTCTTAAAAGAACTACCGAATATCGCTATTTTAGGCCCCGAATAAATATATAAAATACACATATACACATTTTAGTTACGTCTATCTTTGTAAATATCTACTTCTTTATAAATTAAAGAAGGAAGAATTCTCGGGATTCTACTTGAAAATGTGGGGTCTTAATGTTCCGACATCTCTAAAATTCAACCCTCATTCGTGGAAAAACTTTTACAATTTCCACAATGGAGATAAAGAAAAATCAATGTCCCCATTGGGTTTTTCAAGTTTGGTAGTCAATGACCATGAAGCCTCTGATATTTAGATAATTCCTTTGGATCATTTATAGAATGCAACTTTCGTTCATGAAAAAACTTTTACCATTTCCACAATGAAGATAAAGAAAATTCTTTGCACCCAATGGGTTTTTCAAGTTTGGTAGTCAAGGACAATGAAGTCTCTGATAATTAAATAATTCTTTTGGATTATTTATAGAATGCAACTTTCAACCGTGAAAAAACTTCCACAATTTCCACGATAAAGATTAAGAAAAATCTGAGTACCCAATCGATTTTTCAATTTTGGTAGTCAAACTAATTTTGTTTTATCTTTTTGGAAAGAAGTGGAATCCTTGGTTAATGGAGCGATGAGAACCACTCCTTTAAGACGAAATTTACGTGAAAGTGTGGGGAATTGGTGTATAATGAAATCTCAAAAAAGTTGAATATTTTTAGAATGCAACTTTCATTTGTGGAAAAAAATTCCACAATTTCCACGATGAAGATGAAGATGAAGAAAAATCTGAGCACCCGTCAATTTCCCGAGTTTCGAAGTCAAGCAAATTTTCTTTTATTTTTGGAAAGAAGTGGAGCTCACAATTAGTGGAGCTATAAGAACCACTCCCTTAAGATGAAACTTACGTGAAAATCTGGGGTATTAGTGGACAATCAAGTCTCAAAAAGTTAAATAGTTCTTTAGGATTATTTATTGAATGCAACATCTATTCGTGAAAAAAATTCCACAATTTCCACAACGAAGATAAAGAAAAAACTATGCGCCCAATGGATTTCTCGAGTTTGGTAGTTAACCATATTTCGTTTTATTTTTTTGAAAGAAGTGGAGTCCACAACTAATGGAGAGATAAGCACCATTCCTTTACGATGAAATCTAAGATAAGTCAAAATGTTAAATAATTCCTTTGGATTATTTATAGAATGCATAAAAAAACTTTCACAATTTCCACGATGAAGATAAAGAAAAATCTAAGCACCTTATAGATTTCTTGAGTTTGGTAGTCAAGCAAATTTTGTTTTAATTTTGGAAAGAAGTGGAGTCTTATACACTAATTATTATTTTTTATATATATACTTAAGCGACATTAAGTTTTATTCATCGAAATTTACACTTTTCTCAATGCGCAAATTTTTTTATTGTGGGGAGAGAGAGGGTGTGTGTTTCTAAGAAATGGTGTAGTTTAAATCAAAGAAGAAAGAAGTACTAGGTAATGGAACCCTCTTTAGGGATTGGAAAATTGTAGGGAGAGAGTAATGAATAGCAAGAACTACTGTTCCTTGGTTGACACATTAATGATTATTAACTGAGAAAAAAGGTAATTGGGGGGCCAAGACTAATGGAGCACAACTCTTAGTCATACATGAGGTTTTTGGTATAATTGTAAGTGTGAATATATATATAGTCTTGGTCAAAGACTAATGTATGACTAAGAGTTGTGCTCCATTAAGAGTTGTGCTCCATTAGCCTATGACAAAGAGTGTTACTAAGACTAATGGAGCACAACTCTTAGTCATACATTAATCTATGACTAAGAGTATATAGATATTCACACGTACAATTATACCAAAAACCTCATTACGGCCACCTACCAATCTATATATATGTATATATATATAACTAGGAGCTGTGCTCCATTAGCCTATGACTAAGAGTGTGTGCATATATATATATATATATTCACACTTACAATTATACCAAAAACCTTATTACAGCCACCTTCCAATCTTCTTTATGCGTTTCAAATTAGCCATGGGAAAAAATGTGTTCTTTACGTTGCTAACAATAATTTATTTGCTTATCTATATTGTTGCATCTCAAAATAGCTCAACTGATGAGTATGCTCTTTTAGCCTTCAAATCTCAAATTTCCGATCCAAATAAAATCTTGGCAAAAAATTGGTCACAAGGAACTTCTTTTTGTAATTGGATTGGTATTGCATGTGGCAGAAGACATCGAAGAGTTAGAAGCTTAAATCTAACAAATATGGGCTTTCGAGGTACTATTGCAAAAGAGATAGGCAAACTCTCTTTGTTGAGATCCTTGATTATTAGCAACAACAATTTCCAAGGATTTATCCCTCATGAAGTGGGTAATTTGAGCCAACTTCGAGAAATAGAAATGCAATGCAATGAGCTAATCGGTTCCATTCCATCAAGTTTTGGATTTCTTGTAAATCTACATGTGTTAAATCTCTCTCATAATATACTCAATGGGGATATTCCTAACAAAATTTTCAACATCTCTTCTTTGATAGAAATTGATTTAACAAACAATAGTCTCTCTGGGAGTCTTCCCATGGATATCTGTAACAATCTTCCGAAGGTAGAGAAGCTAATAATTGCAGGGAATCAAATCAGTGGAAACATTCCTCCAAGCCTGGGAACATGCACAAATCTTGAACTACTTTCTCTATTTGACAATCATTTTGCTGGAAGCATACCAATGGAACTTGGGAACTTGTCAAAGCTTCAAATTCTCTGTCTTGGAAGAAATAACTTGATAGGTATGTTTAAAGCGTTGTTCTTATACGTGCGTCTTCTAAAACACTAGAAGATGGACCGATATTGTTGTTCCTTTACATCATAAATATTTCTAGTTAACCGCATGTTGGACCAATATGGCTCGTTTGTGCTCGTAAAACTTGAGTTTGGTCTCGCCACTTTGTCATGCCTCGCATCTTTTAGAAGCTTGATATAAAGAATTAATGATATCAAAAAAAAAAAAAAAAAAAGAAGCAATAATCAATATGACTTTTTCCCAACATTTTTCCTCTGTCAAGTATGGAATGACCCACTGTACATAACATTTAATAGTTCAGTGGCTATTGGGAAAATATTTGAGAAATTTTACAAGCAATAGAGCTATTTAACCACCCATATCTTATTACCTTTTCATCAATACTTGGATTTATTTTTTGTAGTTGTAAAACATTTGTTAGTATGAGGACCTATAATGCAATTTCTGTTATGTCAGAGAACATTAATCTAATTATACCTCTTTTTATGAAGAGGAAATTTTGATGTCTGTAAATTTCTTTATACTTTTGTCATTCTAAAATCGGTCATAATAATTTGATATTTTAAATGCATTGAATTATTCATAATTTCAATGTTTTTTGTTTAATAATAACTTTTTGAAATTTTAAATATTTGACTTTTGACTTTCTATTTTTAATATCTTAAATCTACTCACAGGAAGCATTCCATATGAAATTGGGAACTCATCAATGCTTCAATATTTATTCTTGTCTTCAAACACCTTGACAGGTACCTATCTACTACTTGTTACTACTTTTAAGATTCTTTTGAGTGTGTTGATAAACACATATATTACAGGTACAATTCCGGATTCAATTGGCAGTTTATCAAATTTGGAGGCTTTGGCTGTTGACATCAATAGTCTTCATGGTCAAATACCTCAATCCATCTTCAATCTCTCCATGTTGAAAATATTTGGTTCTACATACAATAATCTATCTGGCAATCTTCCATTGTCAATAGCCAATGGGCTCCCTAATCTCGAAGGTCTCTATTTTGGTGACAATCAATTGAGTGGAGAAATTCCTGGCTGGGTTTCAAATTGTTCTAAGCTTATTGTATTGGAGCTTTTCAATAACTCGTTCAGTGGACGTGTACCCATTAATCTTGGGAATTTACAAGACCTACAATATCTATACTTATTTAATAATCTCTTCACAAATGATCCTTCAATGCTGGAATTGGATTTTCTAGTTTCGTTGACAAATTGTAGACACTTGAAGAGGATGTCGATTGGAAACAATTTTTTTGATGGAACGCTTCCAAAAGCTTTGGGTAATTTTTCAACATCTCTTCAAATATTTCATGCTCGTTCTTGTGGCATCAAAGGTATGGTTACAAGAGAAATTGGCAATATGAGCAACTTGATCTGGCTAGAAATGGGAGGCAATGAGCTCACAGGAAAACTTTCTAACACGTTGAGTCAATTGAGGAAGTTGCAAAAGTTGTTGCTTGATGACAATAACTTGCATGGGTCAATACCAGACGACCTTTGCAATTTGGTGAATCTTTATGACCTAAATTTGGAAAATAATCAGCTCTCTCAGCAGCTACCAGCTTGTCTAGGAAATCTTTCTTTACAGAAATTTTCTTTTGCTTACAACTCATTAACTTCAACCATCCCATCCACACTATGGACTAACAAGGAAATTCAAATAATGGACCTCTCATATAATTTTCTCAATGGCTCGCTGGCCCCAGAAATTGGCAACGTGAAGGGGATGAGAGAGTTATATCTATCAGGAAATCAGTTTTCAGGTGAGATTCCAAGCATTGTTGGGCAACTTATGAATTTGGAAAATATAATAATTTCAAACAATCGATTTCGCGGTCCTATACCTGAGACGTTCGGTAATTTGATTTCATTGAGAAAGCTGGATCTGTCAAAGAACAATTTCTATGGTGAAATACCCAAGTCATTAGAGAAACTGGAGTACCTTGAGTATTTCAATGTTTCTTTTAATAATCTCAATGGTGAAATTCCAAATGGAGGGCCTTTTAAGAACTTTACCTCAGAGTTTTTCATAGGCAATAGAGAATTTTGTGGAGCATCTCAATTTAAGGTCAAGGCGTGCAAAGATAATAGAACTAGATTATCTAGCAAGACCATAGTTTTGAAGTACATTTTACCATCAATTGTTGTGGTATTGAGTCTGGCCATTAGTGTTGTTTATTTATTAAGATGTCGTAGCAGAAATAAACTTCTTCCAGCTCAATCCACTCCCCCCACTACCGTCAAGAGGATTTCATATTACGAAGTTATAAATGCTACCAATAAATTTTGTGAAGAGAATCTAATTGACAAAGGCAGTATTGGTTCAGTGTACAAGGGAATATTTTCAAATGGTATGATCGCTGCTATTAAGGTTTTTAATTTAGATTTGGAAGGTGCAAACAAGAGTTTTGATACCGAGTGCCAAATTTTGTGCAACATCCGTCATAGAAATCTTGTCAAGGTAATTAGCAGTTGCTCTAACCTTGATCTTAAAGCGTTGGTGTTGGAATATATGCCGAATGGAAACCTTACCAAGTGGCTGTCGTCGAGCAACTATTTCCTGAATATAGCTCAAAGATTGGAAATAATGATAGATGTGGCATGTGCACTGGAGTATCTACATCATGGGTATTCCTCTCCAATTGTCCATTGTGATTTGAAGCCTAGCAACGTGCTTTTAGATGAAGATATGGTCGCCCATGTTGCAGACTTTGGCATTGCCAAGCTTGTCACAAAAGACCAGAGAATTTCGTTGACCAAGACGTTGGGCACCATTGGATATATGGCTCCAGGTAAATGGTTCGGTGAACTGTTTATATATGGAGATATGTTATTCACATATATATTTGTAAATGTTAATCTAGCTGTATAATTATATTTCATTTTATCATTTCACTTGTTAATTTGATTACATATGCCAAATTTGTAGAGTATGCATCGACAGGATTAATATCGCCTATGGCGGATGTTTATAGCTATGGGATTATGCTGATGGAAACATTGACCAAGAAGATGCAAACAAATGATATGTTTGTTGCAGAGTTAACCATGAGGAGATGGGTGTTTGAATCATTTCCAGAAAAAATAATGCACATAGTGGATGTGGATTTAGTAAATGCTGTTGAAGATAATATTCGAGCCAAAGAGAGCTTCTTCAGATCGGTCATGGGACTAGCGCTAGAATGCACAGCTAATTTATCTGAGGAGAGGCTCAATATGAAAGATGTTCTAACAAGGCTTAAGAAGATTAAAATTGGATCTTGTTAAAACATAGCTGAGGTTGAATAAGATGAAGAGGTTTGTTTCTTTGTCAAAATTGCTTTTTCCATCTAATGAAAACATAAAAATATGATTATTTGATGCTTATTATATGTTGTTATTACATAAAGCATGGAAATCACCTACAGATTTTTTAAGCTCCGTTTCGCTTCCATTGTTGTGTTGCAGTGTGTCGTAGCAGTGTTGTGGCCCCGAAAACTGTACGATAAAGTATTTTGTCCGATGAATAAATAATTTTATGAAGTTATTGTAATATAAATTAAAAGATATTTTATGTATTTTGGTTAATTTGTTGTGAGATGCTGTAGCGAATGTAATATACTTTCTCATTTTCTTTCATTGACACATATCATGAAAATTTCTTCACAAGTTCTGGAGTGATATATATATATGACTTGTTCTGAGCATTCAACTTCTCCATGCAGGAACTGAGATACAACTTTCTCCTTCTTTATAATTGGAAAATTTTTCAAAAACATGCTTTAAAAGTTATCATTTATTTTTTAAGGGAAACAAAATATATTTATACTGTGCAAATTGTACCCTGGAAGAAAATATGCCAAAATATTGACATTAAATCTGTTATGGAAATTGATTGAGTTTCCTATTGGGTTGTGTACCCATATAGTATGTTTTTCTATGATAAAATAATAATTTATAATAAATTGGTTTTATTTATTTATTGCATTTATTTATTATTGAGCATACGAATTAAAGTTCATGTGATCACTTGCAATAATATAAGTTGGGTGCTTGCGTTGAGAGTACTGTGTGACATAGCTTATATTTTCATCATAAATAATTTGTTCACAACAAATGTATAAAGGTTGGCACCTTGTACTGGAAGGTTGTAGTGTTGACCGATTCACTATTCGGGTTTATGGTTTGTCCTTATCACAAAAATAGTTAAATGTGACACTAGTATACTTGGAGTGTATTGAACATACCACATGTCGATTTTAATTCTATAGCATGACTGTGCGGATAATTAAATTCCACTTCATCGCCATGTATTTCATCTAAATCCCTTGAAAAGATTATGTATATCCTTTCGTGATTTTAGTGGCTCTTTGATTCACCAATGGATGAGATCAATTTGATTGATTAAATATCTCGATGAGTTAGGAACTTCAGAATGAGCAAAGTAGAGAACATGAATTTGAGTCGGGAACCGTTGCCCTAAAAAATAGGTAAAGTGACTCCTTAAGTATCTTCTGTTGAATGGTTAAACTCTGAGCCCAGTGTTTAGCGATGACTAAACTTGAATATCTGGAATTTGTTCAAAGGACCGTTGAAGAAAATTGTACTTAAGTTAGTGAAAATAATTGGAAGGGCAAAATGGTCATTTATGCTCGTACCTAATTATCGAATCTCGGACGGGATACATATACGGCAGGTCAGAGGAATGTTTCACAAATTTATTGGCTTCTGTGATCTTAAATATTTCGAGATTTCAGTCTTTTGCTTTCTCAGCAGCTACCGACTTACCTAGGAAATCTATCTTCTTTACGAGAATTTTCTTTTGCTTACAACACATTGACTTCAACCACCCCATCAACACTATAGACTAACAAGGAAATTCAAATAATGGACATGTCGTACAATTTTCTCAATGGTTCGCTGGCTCCAGAAATTTGCAGTGTGATGGGCATGAGAGAGTTATATCTATAAGGAAATCGGTTCTCAGGTAAGATTCCAAGCACTATTCGGAAACTTTAGAATTTGGTAGATTAATGCTGTCAAATAATCAGTTAAATTGTTCTATACCTGAGTCATTTTGTAATTTGATTGCATTGCAAGAATTGGATCTATCAAATAACAATCTCAATGGAGTAATCCACATGTCATTGGTGAATCAGGAGTATCTTGAGTATTTCAATGTTTCGTTCAAAGATCTCAGTGGTGAAATTCCAAATGGAGGGCCCTTCAAGAACTTTACCTCAAAGTTTTTCATAGGCAATAGAGAACTTTGTGGAGCAGGCTGAGCAGCTCAATTTAAGGTCAAGCCATGCAAAGATAACAGAACTAGCAAGTGCAGAGTTTTGAAGTACATTTTACCATCATTTGCGGCTGCAGTGAGGCTGACCATTAGTGTATTTATTTAATAAGACGTCGTAGAAGAAATATACTTCTTCCAGCTCAGTCTACTTCCTCCATCACCATGAAGAGGATTTCATATTATGAAGTACTAAATGCTACCAATAAATTTGATGGAGAGAATCTAATTGACAAAGGTAATATTGGTTCAGTGTACAAGGGAATATTTTCAGATGGTATGATTGCTGCTATTAAGGTTTTTAAACTAGATTTGGAAGGTGCAAATCGGAGTTTAGATAAAGAGTGCCAAATATTGTACAACATTCGGGACAGAAATCTTGTCAAAGTAATTACTAGTTGTTCTAACCTTGATCTTAAAGCCTTGGTGTTGGAATATATGCCGAATGGAAACTTTACCAAATGGCTGTCCTCGAGCAACTATTTCCTGAATATAGCTCCAAGTGCACTGGAGTATCTACATCATGAGTATTCCTCTCCAATTGTCCATTGTGATTTGAAGCCTAGCAACGTGCTTTTAGATGAAGATATGATCGCCCATGTTGTAGACTTTGGCGTTGCCAAGCTTGTCACAGAAGACCAAAGAATTTCGATGACCAAGACGTTGGGCACCATTGGATATATGGCTCCAGGTAAATGGCTCTGTCAACTCTTTATATATGGAGAAATGTTATTCACATAATTATTCATAAATGTTAATCCAATAGTATAATTATATTTCATTTAACATTTCACTTGTTAATTTGATTACATATGCCAATTTTGTAGAGTATGGATCGACATGATTAATATAGCCTGTGACGGATGTTTATAGCTATGGGGTTATGCTGATGGAAACATTTACTAATAAGAAGCCGACAGATGATAAGCTTGTTGCAGAGTTCACCATGAGGAGATGGGTGTTTGAATCATTTCCAGTGCATATAGTGGATGTGGATCTAGTAAATGCAGTCGAAGACGATATTCGAGCCGAAGAGAGCTTCTTCAAATCGGTCATGGGACTAGCTATAGAATGCACAGTTGATTTGTCCGAGGAGAGGCTCAATATGAACTAACAAGGCTCGAGAAGATTAAAACTGAATCTTGTTAAAACATAACAGGTGGAATAAGACGGAGAGGTTTGCTTCTTTGTCACAATTGCTATTTCCATCTAACGAGAACACAAAAAGATGATTATTTGATGCTTATTATATGTTGGTACTGCCAAAAACATGGAAATCTGCTAAAGATTTTTAAGCTCTGTTTCGCTTCCGTTGCTGTGTTGCATTGTGTTGTAGCAGTTTGTGGCCCCGAAAATTGTACGATAAAGTAATTTGTCCGATGAATAAATAATTTTATGAGGTTATTGTAATATATGTATTTGGTTATTTTGTTGTGAGATGTAGTACTGAATGTAATATACTTTCTCAGTTTCTTTCATAGACACAAATAATGAAAGTTTCTTCACAAGTTCTAGAAGTGATAGATATGGCTTTTTATGAGCATTCAACTTCTCCATGCAGGATTTGAGATACAACTCTCACCTTCTTTGTTGTTGGAAAAGTTGTCAAAAACATGCTTTAAAAGTTATCGGTATCATTAATTTAAGGGAAACAAAATACGATTATACTGTTCAAATTGGACCTTGGAAGAAAAATATGCTAAAATATTGTCATTAAATTTGTTTTGGAAATTGATTAAGTTTCCAAATTTCATTCATCCATGTTGCTGTCAAATTTGAAAGAGTTTAGGTCAAATAAGTGTTCCTTTATAGATTGTATGTGACATGAGAATTCTTTAGAGGAAAATTGAATGCCTAGCATCTTGGTTTTTCTTTTTCTCTTTGTGGAATGTTCGTAGAGTAGAAATAGGTGAATGCAGTAAAGCTTATGATATTAGTTTTATGCAGTACTTTGGGGTTTGGTGAGTGAAGTTCTATATAATTACCTGTGAACAAGAATCCTATAGACAAATTTGGATGAATTGGTCCAAATTTCCAACAGTGGTATAGATCGTTCAGAGTATTGGAGCACAAAAAAGATTTGTTAGGTGAATAGGAGAAATTTGATTGAAGAATCAATCTTTGCTTGTTGCGATCAAGGATGTATTGGATTGCACATGACTTTGAAAGGAAGACCAACTCGATCAAGTATGGATAATATGCTCATGTCACCTAAGACAATATTGAAATGGAAATGGATAGACACAATAAGTGAATGACATATTATATAAAAACAGATAAAGACAATATTGGAAAGGAAAATTTTTACGGAGCCGCACTAGAAGCAGGGCTGATTTGCCCTAGGAGAGGCTTGATATGAAAGATGTTCTAATAAGACTCAAGAATACTAACATTCAAATTTTAATTTTGTTAAAGCATAACTGAGGTGGAATAAGACAGTTGGTTTTTACTATGCAACGAGCGATTAATCTTCGATTACAGATACTTTAAGGAGTTGATTTCATCCTCTCTTTTTTTCAAAATGAGCTGAATTTTAGATCTCTTTTGTTGAAAAACCAGGTATTACCAAACATTTGTGGTTTGTTTAGTACACTAACCAAACATGGTCGATTGATTCAAAACAAAAATATATATAACGAGGTTATCTTATTGCACAAAAGAATCATGGCAAGATGATGGGACATAAATATTCGTGTATACTATATTTTACACCTTCAACATGCCCACAAGTGCAATTCAATTATTTTTTTTAATAGAGAGAGATTTTTGAAAAAGTTTAAGAATAGTGATTTTTGAGCCTTTAGATGTTGCACTGATGACTGGTAAGGTAATAGTGAGTTTTATGAGCTTAAACAGGAGATTCGACCCTAAATGCAGAAAGTCTAAAGTTTAGTGACTAGATTGTAAATAGAGACAGATTATTTTAGACAAGAAGGTGGCGAGTAAAGTTTATTAAATGTTCAAAAGGATTACCAGACGTTAAGGATTTTAATTTTGGCACATTTTGATCATTTTAACATTTTGAGGGACTAAGCTGCAAATAATTTTTGACATTAATATTTTTATTAAATTGGATCAAATAATCAAGTGTTGAAGGAGTAAGAATTATCATATCAATATTAGACTCATTTCGAAGTTTGTAATTAAATGTGAATTTTGGGCTCAAGAAAAATTAATTCAGATAAACCAAATTCAAGTTATAACTCATTAAAGTAAATTACTCGTAGAGTAAAATTAGTTTTCAAACTAGAACAAATCATGTCAATATTGAGTTCGTTTAATATATCATAATTAATCGTATATATTAGGCTCAGAAAATGTTATAATTTATATAATACTGAATCAACTCAGAGCCGATCAAAGAAAATTACAATGAAATGAATTCTAAAGTAATTAAGTACTTTTGTTTTTCTGTTGGTACCTCGGTTTGCCACCCATTTTTTCTCATTCTATTTTTCTTTCTTCATTTCAACCACGCATTCTATTAATAAAATAATATTACACATAAATCCAAAAATTCTCTTTACTTTTTAACCACACAATCTTCTATCAATCACTATTCCAAAAATTATTTTTCAAACAAAATGGGTGTCAAATAGGGGCAAAGTGTGGCCGAAAACAGGATTAGTTGCAGTTTTAAAAAGGATATATTTGACATTTCATTCCTCATTGGCCTTTAAACAAAAAGTTAAGGGGAGGGGCTTTTCATTTCCATCTTAAAAATGAAGACTTGAGTAAAAATTCTCCAGTCTTTTGTTTTTATGCCTTCTCTTTATTAAAGCTTCTCTCTCTGCTTTTGTAAAAAATTATTTGTAATGACATTGTTCTGATGGGACATAAATATTCGTGTATATTTTACACCTTCAACATGCCCACAAGTGCAATTCAATTATTTTTTTTAATAAAGAGAGATTTTTGAAAAAGTTTAAGAATAGTGATTTTTGAGCCTTTAGATGTTGCACTGATGACTGGTAAGGTAATAGTGAGTTTTATGAGCTTAAACAGGAGATTTGACCCTAAATGCAGAAAGTCTAAAGTTTAGTGACTAGATTGTAAATAGAGAGAGATTATTTTAGACAAGAAGGTGGCGAGTAAAGTTTATTAAATGTTCAAAAGGATTACCAGACGTTAAGGATTTTAATTTTGGCACATTTTGATCATTTTAACATTTTGAGGGACTAAGTTGAAAATAATTTTTGACATTAATATTTTTATTAAATTGGGTCAAATAATCAAGTGTTGAAGGAGTAAGAAATTATCATATCAATATTAGACTCATTTCGAAGATTGTAATTAAATGTGAATTTTGGGCTCAAGAAAAATTAATTCAGATAAACCAAATTCAAATTATAACTCATTAAAGTAAATTACTCATAGAGTAAAATTAGTTTTCAAACTAGAACAAATCATGTCAATATTGGGCTCGTTTAATATATCATAATTAATCTTATATATTAGGCGCAGAAAATGTTATAATTTATATAATACTGAATCAACTTAGAGCCAATCAAAGAAAATTACAATGAAATGAATTCTAAAGTAATTAAGTACTTTTGTTTTTCTGTTGGTGCCTCGGTTTGTCACCCATTTTTTTCTCATTCTATTTCTCTTTTTTCATTTCAACCACGCATTCTATTAATAAAATAATATTACACATAAATCCAAAAGATTAGGCGTAATAAAAAGATTAGCGCTATGTTACAGTCAGGGGTGACAATGCAATGCAGCTCCTTGAAAGTGGATTTAGTTTTGGGTTTAGTTTTCAATTATGGAAATTACTAAATTTTATATAAAATAGAAAATGAGAAACTTGATTGTAATTTGATTCAGTGGAGCACTAAGTAACACTATATGGAACTCATTTTCATTTTATACAAACAAAACTCTAAACCATCGATACAAAAAGAGAAAGAAGGCAAAAAAAGGAAGAAAATGCAAAGAAAAAAGAAAGAAGATAAAAAAGAAGGTAAAACCTAGCACCGCCGCCTTTCTCCACCCTCTCGGTGACGACACTAGGTTTATAGAGAGTAAAAGTGGGAAAGAAGAAAAGGGAAAGAGAAAGAAGAAAAAAAAGAAGAAGAAGAAGCAAACACGACGAAGTGTTGTTGAAATTTGGAGAATCCATATACCCATATCCATGTCGTGTCGTGTCGTGTCTGACACGGGTACTCCACCTATTTCAAAGAGTCCGAGCATCAGAGGCTTTTCCAACATAGCTGTTGATTTGCAATGAAATTTCACATTCTTGAAAAATATTCTCTAGAATGATGCTGACATATAAATTGTATACTTTCAGATCATACGAGACGAAAGGCGAAGTCATAATTTTGACTGTTTGCTTGTGTTCTAACATGTTGGTAAATCGACAGGGTGCCGGACATGAATTAAAGCATGCAGTAGGAACTCTTAGGCCAGTAAATGTGGCTTTTGAGGTGGTAAATAGTTTTCAATTTTATAAAGGGGAAGTTTACACCAACACGAAATGTGGCAATAGTCCAATGGTGAGTACTTTGTATTCTCAGGAAATATTAGAAATTGGATAGTAAAATGATTGAGAAAAATGTCAAAATAGGATTTTTATAGTTATATACTGCAAAATCTTAGTTTGCTAATGCCCATAGTGTATTGCCTTGCGACCCAACTTTCTGTGAAGCTTGATTCTCTTTTACATACGTTACTCTTGATTTCAACTGAAAAATTTCTAGTGGGAAAATAAGACTTTTGTCTAGATAGAAAAGGAAAAAAGTTCCATGTGCAATCAGGGACATAATCTTAGGCACATGGAATTTAATTGAAGATGATGTTTGTATATATTTTCTCTCATTTTTTTCTGCCCGGGTTATCAAATTGATACATATCTTGTTGTCTTATGTAGAAGTTGAAGCATCGTGTTATAAAGAAAGATACCAATCCTGAATAGAACGAGGATTTAACACTCATATATAGTTGGGAGGTTACGATTAATGTATCCCTTTTTTTTAATTTAATTTTGTACATAAGCTGTATTTTAAGAGAAGGATTTGTGATAACGGATTTATTATTTATTGTCATTGCATAAATAAATTTAAAGACCACTGTAGAATGAGTTTTATATTCAAAATAATATATACAAATATAACAATGTAAACAGTAATTTTTTTTTTTTTAAAAGGTTGGAAACGGCAACGTTCAATGAATGTTGCAAAAAATAAGGATACAAGTATTAGAAACATTCAAAAAACGTTCAAAAAATTTATTAGCACCATTCAAAAAACATTATGAAAAAGTTATTAGCAACATTTGTTAAATGTTGCAAAAAATTTATTAGCAACGGTTTTGAACGTTGCCGTATCATTGTACTCTACGCGACATCGAGGTTTGCAACGAACGCCCGAACGTTGTGAAAGGTCTTTTGCAACTTTTTTTGACCGTTGACCGTTGCAAAATGCTATTTTTGTTGTAGTGTAAAAGTCAAATAATTTTTTTGGATTATCTATAAAATGCAACTTCCATTCGTGGAAAAACTTCCACAATTTCCATAATGAATAAAAACTTTTACAATTTCCGCAATGAATGAAAACTTCCACAATTTCCACAATGATGAAAAGAAAAATCTATGCAACAGATGGATTTCTTGAGTTTGCTAGTCAAGAAATTTTTGTTTTATTTTTGGAATTAAGTGGAGTCCATGATTAATGGAGCAATAAGAAACACTCAAGATGAAATCTACATGAAATGTGGGATCGATATCAGAGGACAATAAAATCTCTAAAAGTTAAATAATTCCTTCAAATTTTTGTTGAATGCAACTTTCATTCATGGAAAAACTTCCACAATTTCCCAACAAAGAAAAGAGAAATTTATGAAACCAATGGATTTCTCGAGTTTGGTAGTCAAGCAAACTTAGTTTAATTTTTGGAAAGAAGTGGAGTCGCACGATTAATAGAGCAATAAGCACCACATCCTTAAGATGAAATCTACATGAAAATGTGGGAATTGATGGACAATGAAGTCTGTAAAAGTTATATAATTCTTTTGAATTATTTATAGATTAATGCTTCTTTCTTTCGTTGAAAAACTTCCACAATTTCCATAATGAAGAAAAGAAACTCTATGCACTTAACGGAATTCTCAAGTTTGGTAGTGAAGCAAATTATTATTATTATTATTATTATTATTATTATTTGAAAGAAGTGGAGTCCATGGTTAATCTATGCACTCAATGAAAAGAAAACTTCCACAATTATTATCTCTACTCTATTAAAAGAGGGGATGGGGCGTGTACTATTCATTTCCGCACCTTCGTTTTCACACTTACTGTTCATTAACTGGTTCTATGATAAATATCTTGTATATATATATATGAAAAATCAGAAAGAGAATCATCAGATTTGTGCATTCACCGACTGAATTTAGGTAGCCCTAACCCACCCTATATTCCAAGCATGTCTTCCAAGCAATTGTTAAACAACCCCAAATATTTTACATCTACGAGCCCGAGACCGAGAATCTCCAATGGCGGAATTGCCTGGAACCCAGTCCTCCAGCTCTACTTCCGATTATAATAAATCTTCTGGAGAAGTAGAGTCTCTAAATAAGCCAACCCAGGTCCGTGTCTCCGTTTCCTTTATTTTGTCGCTATCTTTTTTAGAGGAGAATCGATAGTTTCCAGTTCTTTTATGCATTTTTACAGTTATAAATGGAGTGCATCGATGGATAATTCTATTGTGTTTGAAATGGATTTTTTTTCCATTTTCTTGTTGGATTACAGTGAATATAATTAAAATTCGTATTATTTAGGTTTTAATTTTGATAGTATGACATTTTTTTGTAGATTTGCTTTCAAATTATAGTATAATTTTGAAAAAAAAAAAATTTAATTGGGTTGTGGATGTGGGATCTTACTAAAAATGCATTTGGGTGTTTCGGGCATTATATGATGGATGCTTTTGTTCACATGGCTTTATAATTTGTCTGACTTTAAGAAAATAAGGTTTTGTTGGATTTTTGAACTAATTGAATTTTGAAGGTTTCCTAGCATTCTTTCCATGAAACAGAGGAAGGAAAATGAAACACTAGCAATTTTGAAGGTTAGTCATCGAGCTTGAACGCATTTGCCATGTCTTTATATTTTTCAATTCAAAGAAGCGCTCTTTTCCTCTTCCTATCTTTATCTGTTGCTTTTGAATAGAGAATTATTTTTCAGTGCTCTGTTTGTGTTCAATTCTTCCATTGATTCATGGATAATTAATAAGTTGCTTCAGTTTTCATCTGAAGGGCTCCAAAATTGAGCTTTTATTGTTCATCTTTTGAAATTAATTGATGATATTATCTTTTTAGTGAAGAATGCTTTAAAATAGATGCATATATTATTTGGCAGGTAACAATTCTGGTGGTATGAACTATGAAATAATTTACATGTATAAATGGAAAAACTGTGGCTAAAATTATGCTTTCCAGAGCACCAGTTATGTGTGGTATGGTTAATTATAATCTAAACATCTTTGACAAATTACTACCTATACTACTTAAAGAGCACCTATTTAAGTCTAAAGATGTATTCTCCCACTTTAGATACGTACATACTCAGAATGGGTGATTGGTGGAGAGTATGACTGGCCACTTAAATGCTGCGACTGTCAAGCTGTGCTTGAAGGGACTGACCCTCAAACGACTCGATTGGGTTGCTTGCGTATGTATTCCTATTCATGCATCTTTAATTTATTCTTATAAAGATTTCATGAAAAAAAAAGTTGTGAATTTTTGTTCTGGTTTTCATATGTTTAATTTGGTTTTCGATGTAATTTTTATTTGTTTTAGATCGTGTAATAGAAAACGAATGATTTTTATGCGGCTTTGATCTGATGGGATCTGATTTTATTTAAAAAAATATCAATTTAAAGTCATCTTGGTTCCTTGATTTGTTGATTGAGGTATTGTTAATTGTTTTAGGGCTTCAATATAACTATGTGTATTGAGGTCATATGAAGGTTTATTATTGTATCTTTACTTTGTGAGTTGATGACACCTTCATGTTAATTGTTTATTTAGCTTTTTATTATTGTTTATAATCTACATCTATGTAGGGATGGCAATGGGCCAAGCCAAGCTATGCACATGCACGAGCCGAGCTTGTGGCTCGTTACTCGTGGGCTGAGCCGAGCTTCGGCTCACGAGCTTGGGTTTTTTTATTATTATTATTATTTTAACTATACTTGTTCTAAACCTAATAAATTTTTTTTTTTTTTTAATTCATGAGCCGCTCAAGCTTGTCAAAAAGACGAGCCGAGCGGCTATAAAACAAAATTTTCATGATTAGGAATATGTAAGTTGAGTTTTGTGCAATATTATTTTCTTCTTTCATAGTGCCAGACTCTCTAGCTGACTCCAAATTTACAGAGAGAAAGGCTTAGTTTGTTGTAGTGTTCTCGGTATTGTTGTAGTGTTCTCGGTATTGTTACTGGATCTCAGTCTTCATTTTCATCAGTTAATTGTCAATAGTGAGAAAATTTTTTCATGGGGAAAGCAAGGATTTAGTTTGGAAGGGTTTGGTTGTCATGCTAGAAAATTGGGGAAATCAGCATTCATTTACGTTTTGAAGTAGTAACAAGGAACATTGGTTTCTAGACTTCTCTTATTTGAGATTATTTGTTGGTAAATTGTACCTAAATAGAGGACATTTTATAATTGATAATAATTGATCGACTGTATGCTTCTGTGTACCTGGACAGCTGCCCCGGCAGTGGAGCAGTAAATCATTTTCTTAATATCAAAGACGACCATTTGTTTTTATTTTGTGCTTGATTTATCCTTTATTGATTTTTGATAGACTGCAAACTATCTTGTAAGTTGAACATTTTGAGTTTGGCTGTGTTTGCACACTAATGTTGTAAACATTTAACTATTTATTAAAAAGATAAATAAACATAATGTTTTCTAAATTGGGTAATTGAAATGGCATGTCATATATCAAAAACACCAGTTTGTGTTTCTTACTGAAAAAAATTGGTGGCCTGGCTTTCTATACATTACAAAGGAATTTATGATAATCGTCTACTGAAAGAGACAATACATACTTGAGCTTCACCATTAATTGTCTTCTTTCTTTTTTACACTTCATCATATTTATGTTGTCTTGTCATCTAACCAAGAATTCATTCCCAGTAAAACATACCCATATCTGAAAAGAAAAACGGAAAGAGAAAGATGAGAGCCTTCAACTTGTCGACATAATGGACAGGACTAAGTGCCCTGTACATATATTGCTGGAAGCTTCTATAGTCTCTTTGTTGAGAGTCCTCTCCACTCAAATTGATATCGCATGTGCTATGCAGCTATATCTTAAATCTTTACTGATGAGATATATGTTTTTCTTTTCCCATTTATGTCATGTAACACATTATTATTTCCCTTGATTCTCTTCAGATCCTTAAAATGGACACTTATAGGTACCATGGGCACTCCATGTCTGATCGTGGAAGCACATACTGCACACGTGATGAGATCAGTGGCGTGAGACAGGTGGATTAATTGTCAAATATTTATGTCTTGAGCCTTTCATATGAAGTGTTTATTAGTATCTGCTTTTGTGTCCAGGAGCGTGATCCAGTTGAAAGAATTAGGAAGCTTGTTCTATCTCATGATCTAGCGACTGAGAAGGAGCTGAAGGTAATGTGAAAATATGTTTTCCTAATATCCCAATTGGCTTTTTTAGAATATTTTCGAATAAAGTTGATGTAACACTTATTAGAACGAACCAAGAGTGCGATGTGAGCTTTCCTCCTAACAAATCAACAATATTAAGAGATATTTGGCTGTTCTTACTTTTTCTGTCAGGATATTGAGAAAGAAGTGAGAAAAGAAGTAGATGAAGCAATTGCACAAGCTAAGGTGAGAAGTTTAGCCTTCTTTTTCGCTTGGTTTTGGAGAAGTTCTGATTTCGCTTCTTTTTGATTTCTTTCTACTTTTGAGTGATAAGGTGACTGAAGATGCTTCTTGATTACATCATGCCAGGGCCCTTGTTAACTCTTAATTTTGGACTAAAAGTCCTTTATGAATTCTTAAAATTTGCATATGATTGTATGTAAAAGGATGTTTGGCAATTTTTGGATCGTTTAGGAGTGAAGCAACTGAACCAATTTTCCTTTACAATGGTTTATTATTGTTTAATATGGAGAAGGAAATTACGCTCAGATAATTGATTGAATATGGAGTAAAGGTATGTTGCTTACCTGGATTCTACAATACCGATGGAAGGTTGAATCATATCATTGTAGATGATTGTGGCTCTCTGTCAGTGTTATTGAACATGAACTATAAAGAACTAGTACTTTTTTAGCTGATTTGTCCAGATAGTCATGTAATGCTGTGTTTGATACGGGAAGGTTAAAATCAAAACTTGGAGTATGCACAATATCAATTTATGCTGACATTTTTGTTTTTTTGTTGGTGTTGTGTTGGAAACTCATTTAAAACAAGTTCTTTGTATGTGTAATTATGCTTAACAATGTATGTAATGAGTGTTCTCCTGTGTTCCAAGCTAGTCTATTGACTTTTTAGAGTCCAACTTAACCCAATCGGCGATGGCAATGTCTAACAATGTTTGTAATAACTATTTTCTTATTACTCTATCCTTGTGTGGTTATATATATTTTTTTATCTCAATTTGAAAACCATCCCGGATCAGTTGTGAGATGGCATAGCTAAACCTTGTATCTTGATGCTGGCATCTGCCATTTTCAACAAAGTATAATGTCCACTTTTACTTGTTTACTACTACTTGATTTTCTACTTGACAGATAACTCAGCACAAATGGGCAGGACCATTTATGCAACCTGTGGATGTGGTAGGTCTTNTGTGTTTTGATTCTTTCTACTTCTAAGTGATAAGGTGACTGAAGATGTTTCTTGATTACTCTGTTATAACTTAACCATTCAACACGTGATAGATATATGTTATTTTCTTTTCCTGTTTTTGGAGTTGTCAACGTATGCTCTTCCTCCTGCATGCCATGTCTGTCTGTATTGATGATGCATCAAGGATTCTGCTAAAATTAGCATGATTTGGCCATTTTCAACAAAATATGAGGTTATAGATTGAGATTTGTGGCATCTCCTTTGTCCCCCGACAGGAACACAGCACGTCAGGTGGAGTGGAGAAGTGATTTGTATAGCATTTAGAGAGATAGAAAGGATTCTTTGTTTGGGTGACATTGTGGACTGGTATAGCGTGACATGCTCCATTCTCTTGTTTGTTTTCCCTGCTAGAATGCAGCGTAGGAATGAGGTGCAATTAAAGGAATGGGGCTCGCAGAGCATGGTATTCACTAATAATATCTAATAATTGAAAATTTTTCTTGGGAACCAGCTGTGATCCCAACCTTAAAAGTTGTACTCCTGAGTGTAGCGAGTCCTGACTCCTGATATTGAATGTCTAACTCATTTGGGAGGAATCTGTTAAGGTAGTATGTACTTCTGTATGGTGACTTCAATGATGCGTGAAGAACTTCAAGATGTTTTCTCTTTTAAACTTGTGACTGCAAAAATGAGCGTTGTTCTTGACTTTGTCTAATGTCAATAAAGTAGTTCAGTTGATATTCTGATTACTTAAATTATTGAACTATTATAGAAATGCATTTTTGACTTATATTCCTTACATGTATATGACTTTTTGTTTATTTATTTATGCAGATTGGTCAAAGTCATTCTACTAGATTAACGCCAAATCTTTTGAAACTATTTCAGCCCCGGTCCCCTTCGGAATACAAACCATCACAAGGGAGAAGGGAATGCCCCTATATACAAGTTTGTTATTGCTTTAAGCTTGCTCAAGGTTTCACTAAGTTGGAATATGTGAACTTAACGTATATTATTTTTTATATTCTAGAATAATTTAACTTAGTAAGTCTTTTTACATATTCAGAAAAAAATTAAAATTCATCACAATGCAGCCATAGCGAACATTATGTATATAATTCACGAAAATCCAACACATTTAATACACTAATAGTACTGTCAAAAAAACTCAGCCCGTGCATTTGCACGGGCAAAGACTAGTAATGAAGAAAAGTGCACTCAATGGAATTCTCAAGTTTGGTAGTGAAGCAATTTTTTTTTTTTTTTAAAGGGAAGTGGAGTCCATAGTTAATGGAGCAATGATGAGCACCACTCAAACCCAAGCACAACTCTTAACCACAGAATATCTTGTACACTTATCTTGGAGGAAGCTTTCAATTATATAAACTTGCAATTATATCAAACGACTTATTACTGCCATCTCCCAATCTTCTTTATGCATTCAAATTAGCCAAGGGAAAAAATGAGATATTTATGTTCCTAACAATGCTTTATTTGCTTATCAATATTGTTACATCTCTCAAGAGCTGATGAGTATACTCTTCTAGCCTTCAAATCTCAAATTTCTGATCCAAATAAAATCTTGGATTAGTATTATTTATACAAAAGATATCCCAAGGGTTGGGGCTAACATCTAACAAATATGGGCTTGCCAGGTACTATTGAAAAAGAGATCACTGAACTATCTTTTTTGAGATCCTTGATTATTAGCAATAACAATTTCCAGGGATTCCTTGGTGAAGTGGGTAATGTAAGCCAACTTCAAGAAATAGAGATCCAATGCAATGAGCTAAATGATTCCATTCCATCAAGTTTAGGATTTCTTGTAAATCTACAGTAGTTAAATCTCTCCCGTAATATACTCTATGGGGATATTACTAAAATCTTTTTCAACATCTCTTCTTTGATGGAAATTGGTTTAGGAAACAATAGTCTCTTTGAGAGTCTTCCGACAGATATCTGCACCAATCTTCCAAAGCTAGAGAAGCTAAGAATTTCAGTGAATCAAATAAGTGGCAACATTCCTCCAAGCTTGGTAAAATGCATGAATCTTGAACTACTTTCTGTCTTTTACAATAATTTTGCTGGAAGCATTCCAATGGAAATCGAGAACTTGTCAAAGCTTAAACTCTCAATAATCGTTGGAAAAGAAATCAAATTAATGTTCACTGAAGATTTCAAGAATCATTTACTAAACTTTATTTTAGTCGTGTGTCTACTAGTATTCCAATAATTGATTTGAGTAATTTGAGGAGTTTTCTTGGATATGCAATAGTCACAATGTGTATAAATTGGAATGTAATTAACTTTTTTAAGGCAATAAGATTAAGTATTTCTAATAATATTTGCTTGCCTTTAAACTGGTATCAGATCATTCAAACATAATAGAAATTGTTATCAGAATACAATTGCAGTAGCATATCTTGGAAAAGAAAATCATAGCAAATCCAAATATTTGGTGTCTCTTATTCCTCATTTCAATAGGGAAGATTATGACACTTAGAGTCACAATATGAAAGTGTTGCTGAAATCTATAAAGCTCTGGAATATTGTTGATGAAGGTTTTGAAGATCTAGAGACTGGAGATGGAATGACTCAAGCACAAAGAAATACTTTGAATGAAATGCGAATAAAAGACAGTAAAGCCCTTTTCCATATTTACCAGGCAATTGAAAGACCGATGTTTGAACGAATCGCAAAAGCTAAAACTTTAAAGCAGGCTTGAGAAATTTTGCAGATGGCACACCTTGGAGAAGAGTGAGTAAAAAAGGTATGCTTACGGTCCTCTGGATTAGAGTTTGAGAAATTGGAAATGAAAGAAGAAGAAAGTATTTATGATTGCTTCACAAGAGTTACTTCAAAAATAAATCAAATGGCATTCAATGGCAAAAGTTTACAAGATTAAAAAGTTGTTGAAAAAATTCTTCGAAGTCTACCATCAAGGTTTGATTTCATAGCTGCAACAAATGAAGAATTAAAAGACTTGGAAACACTTTCATTAGATGATTTACTTGCATCGTTAAAATCTCATGAACTACGATGAAGTCTACCATCAAGGTTTGATTTCATAGCTGAAACAATTAAGGAATTTAAAGGCTTGGAAACGCTTTCATTAGATGATTTACTTGCATCGTTAAAATTTCATGAACTGCGAGTAAAGTACAGGAATCCTTCACTCCCTGACCAAGCACTCAAATCTCAAATTTCTGGAGGCTCTAGTTCTAATACTTTTAGAGAAAGATGATGATCTGGAGGTCGGGGGAGAGGCCACCATTTTTGCATATGAGGAAGAGGATTTCAAAGTGGTGGAAAGTTCAAAGAAGAAGAAAAGGATTATCACACAAGCAATCTTCAAAGAGGTCGAGGAATGAATGCTAGAACAGCAAAAAGGAGGATAAAGAATAAAATAGTTTTATTCATAAAAATGACAATGATGAGAAGTACACATCTGAGACTTTGTTATTAACATGTGAAAATAATCTGTTTGGTATCTGGATAGCGATGCTAATAAGCATATGTCTGGAAATAAAAACTTATTTTTTAAACTGGTGGAATCAGAATTTGGACAAGTCAAAGTTGGTAATGCTAGAGCCTTTGCAATTAAAAGTATTGAAGATACAACAACTAGAACTAAGAGAAGAAAGCTTGAAAAGATGTCTATTGTTTATTATGTTCCAGGTTTGATAAGCAATCTGTTAAGTGTTGGCCATCTTTCGAGAAAGGATTATGAGAGCAATTTACCTAATAAATTGTGCATTTTGACTCCAGAAAATCAGGTTGTGACAAAGGTCCCATTGGCATCAAATAATCTATATCCTATTTGGCTAAAAGTTACTAATGTTTCTTCTCATTTCACTAGCATGAATGGAGAAACTTCGAAATTATGGCATGATAGGTATGATCATTTAAATTATGGACCCTTGAAATTGTTATCAGAAAAGAAAATTGTGAATGGTCTTCCTCAGATTGATCAACTGAATGAAATTTGTGAGGCCTGCCAACTTGGATAGCAACATAGAAGTCCATTTCCACACAAGTCATCTTCAGAAAAGAAAATGGTGGATGGGCTGCCTCAGATTGATCAATTGAATGAAGTTTGTGAGGCCTGCCAACTTGGATAGCTACATAGAAGTCCATTTCCACACAAGTCATCTGGGAGAGCTAGACAACCACTACAACTTATACATTCAGACTTATGTGAACCAATTGCAGTTTTATCTCTTGGAGGTAGCAGATATTTTATCTCTTTCATTGTGACTTTAGTAGAAAAGTTTGGACATATTTTCCTAAAGAAAAATCTAATTGCTTTCAATCTTTCAAAAGATTTTAAAACTGAAGTTGAGAAGTTTTCTTAAATGCTTAAAAGAAAGCAACTACCACGAGAACTTTGGGCAAAGGCAATTGCTTGTGCAGTATATTTGATCAACAGGTCACCCTCAAAAAGTTTGAATAACATGACTCCATAACCGAACCATTATGAAAATGGCAAGATGCATGCTTAAAAGAAAGCAACTACCATGAGAACTTTGGGCAGAGGTAGTTGCTTGTGCAGTATATTTGATCAACAGTTCACCCTCAAAAAGTTTGAATAACATGACTCCACATGAAGCCTGGTATGATTCTAAACCAATAGTTTCACACCTAAAGATCTTTGGTAGTCTTGCTTTTGCCCATATACCAGATGCTATAAGGAATAAACTGGATTATAAAGCTCATAAATGCATTTTTGTTGGATATAATGAAAGATCTAAATGTTATAAATTATACAATCCATTGACGAAGAAAATTGTGATAAGTCAGGATGTAAAGTTTGATGAAAATGCAACATTTGAAGGTAATGAGAGCAATCAATCAGTAAATTTTTCAAGAAGGAGATAACACCTCAAATGAAAACTGTGACAATTTTTCATCTCCAAGTCGTGGGTCCCTTTCACCTCCAAGTTCTTCTAGAGGAAAATAATCTGATGAAGAGCCACCAAGAAAAAGAATGAGAAGATTTCAAGAAATCTACGAGTTTACGGATCTTGCCCATGTAGAAAGTGTTGTTTTGTTTGCATTTTTTGCAAGTAAGGATCCAAGTTTATATGATGTAGTAATAAAAGTAGAAAAATGGAGAAAGGTCATGAAGGAAGAATTGATGCCATTGAAATGAACAATATATGGGAGCTCACAAATCTATCACCAAAAATGAAGCCTATGGGAGTAAAGTGGGTGTTCAAAACTAAACTCAATCCTAACAATTCAGTCAATAAACACAAAGCTCGGCTTGTAGCGAAGGGTTATGTGCAAAGAAAAGGAAAAGACTACAATAAGGTATTCTCTCTAGTCTCTAGACTTGACACTATTTGTCTTATAATTTCTTTAGCTGCCCAAAATAACTGGAAGCTCTTGCAAATGGATGTTAAATCTGTATTTTTAAATAGTTTTATCCAAGAAGGGATTTATCTCAAACAACCACCTGGTTTTGTGAAAGAGAGAGACGAGTATAAAGTTTACAAGTTGAAAAAGGCCTTATAAAGTTTAAAACAATCGTCAAGTGTTTGGTATAGTAGAATCAATGCATTTTTTTGAAACAAATGGTTTTCATAAAAGTCCAAATGAACACTCTCTATACCAAAAATGGTTATGATGGAAGTTTCATTATAGTAAGTCTTTATGTTGATGATCTTGTCTTCGTTGGAAATAATCTGTCTATGTTGGATGATTTTAGACCTTTCATGATGAAAGAGTTTGATGTGATTTTTTGGATATTGAAGTACACTAGTCAGGAAGTGAAATTTTTATTACTCAGGAGCAGTATGTTAGAAAGATTCTAAAAAAGTTTAGCATGGAAATAGCAAAGCCAGTCTCAACTCCATGCATTTTAGGCATGAAGCTCCAAAAAGAAGGATAACGAAATCTTGTTAATACCACCATGTTCAGGAGCTTAGTGGAAAATCTGATGTGCCTCATAGCCACAAGACATGATATCATGTTTACCATGAGTTTAATAAGCAAGTTAATGGAAGCACCATAGTCAGAATATTAGGAAGCTGCTAAAAGAATTTTACGATTTGTGAAGAGACAACTGATTATGGAGTTTCTTATCAAGCAAATATTCCAACTACTATCTTTGGATACACTGATAGTGATCTTGAACGAAGCGTGGATGATAGTAAAATACGTCGTGTTATATTAGAAGTGGAGTAATTTGTTGGAATTCGAAAAAACAACCAATTGTTGCTCTTTCAACGACGGTAGCTAAACATATTGCTGCATCTTTTGTCGGTTGCCAAATTGTATGGGTACGAAGCATTTTAGAGAATCTAAACCACAAACAGGATGTTCTCCAACCCTTTTGAGTGACAATAATTCAGCAATTTCTGTTATAAAGGAACAAGTTCTACACGGGAGGACAAAACACATTTGTATGAGGTATCACTTCTCAAGAAAGCTTGTTCATGATGGAATAATTCAAGTCAAATACTACAAAACAGAAGGGTAGCAGACATATTTACAAAAGCAGTTGGAGGTCAGAACTTCAAGAAACAATTTGCGAGACTTGGAATGAAAAGCAAATTTGGTTTACAGGAGGCAACATTGGAAAATAAACCAAATTAGTTATCACTGAAGATTTCAAGAATACTAAACTTTATTTTAATCAAGTGTCTACTAGTATTCCAATAATTGATCAAGTAATTTAAGGAGTCTTCTTGGATATGTAATAGTCATGTTTATTTTGATGCATTTCCCTGTATCCTCTAATGTGTATAAATTGGAATGTAATATGTACTAACTTTTTTAAGGCAATAAGATTAAGTATTTCTGATAATATAATTCCCCACTTCGATTGCCTTCAATAATGCTTTCCGAAAATTGTGAAAATTGACCAATATTGTTGTTCCTTCACATCATAAATATTTCTTCAAGCATAGTTATCTGCATGTTGCCGCACATGGAATATGTCCTTGAACATACCTATACTAAAATTAAGTATGCATTCTCAACCCAGAACACATACTTTAACCAATAAATAAATAAACTTGAAGTCCGCACTTGCAACACTCATGATTAGTTGTTTGCTCACTTATGTTAATTGCAATGACTAGGATGATGAATTTACATAGATGTAATGGTCGTAGAAGAATTAAATAATATTAAAAATAGGAAGACACCTTCTTACACTTAAGCTTAAGCAAGGCACGTGTGGGCTTTTAAAACTTGAGTATTGACCTTGGTATTTTGTCATGCCTACCTTGATGTAAAGAATTAGATATCATCACATGCTCTTAAACTTTAATAATAATAATAATAATAAAAGCAGAGATGCAATATTCAATATGACTTGATGGTACAATATAATGGATAAATTTCAACTTTTTTCTCCATCAAGTGTAGAACGACCCACTTCCATTACATAACAATAATAAGCTACGTATCCATCCATGTCAATCGCTGCTTTTGCTTGATGCAGGAACAAATCAATATGATAAAAAAATAGGGAAAGGGATCAAGGAAGAGAGAATTGAGGGCAAGAGAAGTAATTTTTATTCATATAATTCAAGTGTGTCCCAATACATTCCTCTTAGTCCCTTTATATTGAAACGACTTTGAAACTAGATAATCTTGAAATAAAAGACGACTTTGATCCTTCAATTGTGATTTCTGTATAACATATTTTTGAGTAATTTCACTTGGAAAACGTTGCCTTGTGAGTTATATATCATCCATACTTGGGATTTCATGATTTCGTGAACTGTACGCTGAGATATGGTTGTTTCTCAACTGCTGCAGTTTGAATGGGGAAACTTATAGGTTATGTTTGAAAATTTATTTGGTCAACCTATTGAAGATATTTAGAGTTGATTTTAGATATGTCTTACCTCTATATGTCTTTTCTCAAATGTTAAAATTTCAAGTCTAAAAGTTCCATTCGCACCTAATTTATTCGTTGTTTCTAGAACTACCCGTGTAATTAAATGAATTTCAGCAATGTTTTTAGAGTTGAAATATTGAACTTCCGCATCTTTAACCAATATTTAACCTATTTGGTTATTGATAAGTGTAGTTTCTACACTTGTTTGAAACCCTAAATCATGATATTTAATTGTCTTTTGGATAAAATTTTACCCAATTTACGTTATATTGTATTTTATAGGTAAAATTTTATATTTAATGAAAAATTGGAGAAAATAATACAAAAGTGACGAAAAATGGCAAAATCCAAAAATGAAACCTTGAAGTGAAATAATACATTAAATGGGTTGGAGTTAAATGGCATCAATGGACTTACATTGAAAATTTTAATTGAAAGCTCAAATTAAACCTATGGCCATGTTTTAGCCACATTATTTTTTTCACTCTCATTCTTCTAATCATTTTTAACTACACA